TCTACCATGATCTCCAACACCTGGAAAAACATAAACCCTGGATACATCAACATTGTGGACTCCACAAAAACCTTGGTCCACTCCAGCACTGTCCCTTGGGGAATGTGGGGCCCAGGATGGCCTACACTCCACCCCAGGCCCTACCTGCCCTGCCTCTTCCCACCCCTACTCTGTCCCCTTCCATTCCCATTCACCCCTTCCCTTAGGCCCACCCCTGCTCCCTTCCCACCCCACCTCTTTCTTTCCATCTCCATTGTGCCCCTTCCACCAAGCTCCTCCCCCAAGTGACACGGCCTGAGGAATTACCAGAGGGCCTGGTACTGGCAGCAGGGGTTGGGACCCTGCACTCACTGTGGTGTCAGGAAACAGAGCGACTCAGCCCCAGCCTGCTGGAGTCCTCTGAGCTCAGCTCCCAGCTGTGTCACTTGGTGAAGTAGAGTGGGTTGTGGCCGGGGCACTCCGCTTCCTGCCCCCATGGTGAAGTCGAGTGACCCAGCTGAGAGATGACGGACTGGAACAGGTTGAGCCTGAGTCGCTCCTCTTCCCACAGCTCCCGCTGCTGGTGAATGCAAGGACGGGCCCAATACCTGCTGCTGGCACCAGGCCCCTTGTTTGTCCCTGAAGTGCAAAGCCCAGACATGGGTAGCTGCCCCAAACCAGCCAATGCATGGGATAGCTCTCTTCCACCCCCAACCTCCAGGGTGGAAACAACCCTCCATAACTTACCAGTTCTGAGCAGGATGCCTGCTCCTCCTTACTTTTGTGCTGGCTCCTTCTATCCAGAATCTTGAGCTCTAGACATTTCCTTTGGCTGATGAGGTAAGCTGGTAAGAAAGTACGTGTTGTCCCAGACCTGAGTGAGGTAAGGTATCCATTCCCTGTGTCTCTTGCTTTTCCTGAGCAACACTGGCTTCCTCCAGCTGCTACCAACAGGCAATCAGCACCTGGTAGGTAGCCTGTTGGGAGCAGAGCAGCAATCAGCTGTGAAACAGCTAGTAAACAGGGAGGTCAGAGCAGCAGTCTCTGGCTGCATCCTCAATGTCTGTTTCCTCTCTGGGTAGTGGCTTGCATCTGGACTTTGAGCACCTCTGAATTCAGTCCCAGTGGGTAGCCAAGAAACATCCACGTTTAATGCCCAGTGGGTAGCCAAGAAACATCCAGGTTTAGAGGCAGCATTAAAGCACGGGCAGCTTTATAAAAGCAGACTTTAGCACACTCAGCTAACTGGCAGGCAAAGTCCCATGGGAAGAGACTCTAAGGGATAAAGTAGTTCAGGATTGCTGACAGTTCACACAGGCAATATTAAAGATACAATGGCAAATTATCCCATTCAAAGGAATGAGAGAGCCATATTTGTCTCTTACTGTCCTTATCAGGAGCTTTTTAATGATCTAAAAATCAAAAGGGAATCCTACAACAAGTGGAAACAAATTGCTAGGATAGAGTACATACAGTAATCAGAAAGGCTAAAGCACAAAATGAGTTACACATAGCAATGGGCATAAAATGCAATAAGAAGAGGTTCTGTAAATACTTTAGGAGCAAAAGAAAGATGAAGGAAAACGTAGGTCCTCAGTTTAGTAGGGCAGGAGTGCTAATAAATGAGGATATCAAGAAGGCTGAGGAGTTTAAAGCCTATATTGCTTCAGTCTTCACTACAAAGGTAAATTGTGACACAATTAATGTTAACAAGGTGGAAGGAACATAAGCCAATATAGGGCAAGAATAAGTTAGACTATTTAGATAAGTTACTTAGATGTATTCAAGTTTGCAGGGCCTGATGAAATTAATCCTAGGGTACCTACGAAACCAGCTGAAACAATCTCAGAACTGTTAGCCATTTATCTTTGAGGACTCATGGAGGAATGGAGAAGGGCAATATTAGCACATACTTTAAAAAGGGGAACAAAGAAGACCCCAGGGAATTAGAGACTGGTCAGCCTAACTTTGATAATTTGTTTTAGTAATTTTCTAGGTATTAACCAATTTGTAAGCACCTAGGAAATAATAAGAGTTAAAAGGAATACCTAGCATAGCTTTTTCAAACACAAATCATGTCAAACTAATGTGTTTAGTTTTCCCCATCCAGGATTACTAGATGGGGAAAACCATAGATGTGATATATCTTGAGTTAAGAAGGGCTTTTGACACAGTCCCCTATGACCATCTCATAAGCATACTACAGAAATGTTATAGAATGACTATAAACTGGGTGTACAACTGATTGAAAGAACTTTCTCAAAGAGTAGTTATCACCGATTCAAGGTCTAATTGGGAGGCTGCATGTAGTGAAGTTCCACTAGGAGTATGCCTTGTATATGGTGCTATTCAATATTTTCATTAATAACGGATAATAGAATGGAACACATACTTACAAATTTTGAGGATGACACCAAGCTGAGAGGGGTTGCAAGCACTTTCAAGGCCCAGATTAGAATTCAAAACAACCCTGACAAACTGAAAAATTGGTCTGAATTGACCAAACTGAAATTTACTCAAGGTAATTGCAAAGTACTCCCTTAGGAAGCAACAATCAAACGCAAGTTACAAAATGGGGGTTGGGTAAGTGATAATACTGCTGGAAAGGATCTGGGGCCTTACAGTGGATGTAAATTGAATCTGAGCCAGCAGTGTGATGAAGTTGCATTTAAAAAAGCTAATATTCTGGAATATTACAACATGTGTGATGTATTTTAAACACAGGAAACAATGGCCCCTGTCTTTGGCACTGATGAAGCTTCAACTGGGGTACTGTATCCAATTCTGGGCACCACACTTCAGGAAAAATGTGGCGAAACTGGAGAGGGAGCACAGGAGAGCAACAAAACTGATAAAAGGGTTAGAAAACCTGACCTATGAAGAGAGGTTAAAAAAAGGGCAGGGTTAGTCCTGAGGAAAGAAGCCTAGGGGTGGTGAGCTGATAAGTCTTCAAATATGTTAGAAGTTGTAATCAAGAGGATAATGGTCAATTGTTCTCCACAGTCCACTAAGATAGTACAAGGAGTAATGGGCTTAATCAGATTTAAGTTAGATGTCTGGGAAAACTTTCTAACTAGAAGGGTAAATAAGCACTGGAATAGGTTACCAGGGAGGCTGTAAAATCTCCATCAGTGGCAGTTTTTAAAAACAGATTGGATAAACACCTCTTAAGGTTGGTGATAGTTTATTTGGGCCTGCCTCAGTGCAGGGGGATGGGCTTGATGAATTTTTGAGGTCCCTTTCAGCCCTACATTTCTGTGAACCCATGATCTTATCAGCACATTCTCAACTGGGCTATAAATGCCCTCAGAACTCCCATAACTCTGCAACATCTTTTATGAATACACATCTCATTAGAGCTCTGCAACTAGACCCAAAACTGATAGGAGCTAAGCTACAATTGTTGAGGTAGGGTGGTAAAACTATCTGACCCTCATGGGCGAGCCTTCTGCCCATGGGGCTGGTATGATGGAGTTGCAATATCTTTCATTCTACAACCTGGCATACAGCACAGCTGGGAGTGCAGGAACAGGGCATGCAACTGCTGGTGCTCTGACTCCACATGCAAGAGGCTGCACTGCCTCAGACTGTAGGGAACGTAGAAGTCTGGCTTGGATTGGGTGGGCTTGTGTCCAGGTCAGGCCCAAAAATTAAGACCAAGCAGATCTTCACTTCTAATATTCATACTTCTTATTTACACCTGATATTCCTCCATTACTACAAGGGACTCCAGGCAAAGAGGAACCAATGTAATTTTATTTACAGATGAGAGAGGTGTGGGATTTGGGAGATCAGTTTCTGGAAGGCAATGGGGGGAGGGAGGGCAGAACAGGGCATGCCTGGGATGAGAGGAGATAGGGTCAGTGGATTTGTTATTTAGCTGATCCACCTGATACTGGCCCTTGGGGGTGGGGGGAGGACGTAGAGGTAGAGAGAGAGAGAGAGAGAGAGAGAATATGGTCAGCATGATCTGCAGCCTCAGGACTGAAGAAGTGGCTACAGAACAGCCTTACTGCCATTTCTCCCTAATCTCTGTGCAATACTCCTACACCAAGCTTGGCTACTTTTTGGTAGGGTTACCAGGTAGCTTCAGAAAAAATACCGGACACACTTGATGAGGGGGGAGGTTGCCCGGGAGGAGAGGGGGGTATGGGTTGGGGGCAGCGGGACTGGCCAGGGGAGATCAGGTGTGGGGGGAGGATGGCAGGGCTGGTCAGAGGGAGTGGGGCTGGCCAGGGGAGATTAGGAGGAGGAAAACCGGCTGGCAGGAAGCCGGGCTGGTCGGGAGGGGCTGAGGAGAGTGGGGTTGGCCGGAGGGGGAGGGAGAGTGGGGAGCGGGACTGACCTGGGTACATGCAGATCCCAGGGCGCTGCCTGTCCCACGCGTGGTCCCAGTGAAGCATGAGTGAGTCCACAATGCGCTTGAACAGTGCTCAGGAGCACGCACAGGGCTTCTCCTCCTTCCCAAGATGTCACTCCTATGCCAGACGCAACCAGAGGCTCCCAGCGCCAATCGCACATGTCTGGTATTTTCTGAATTTTTTTACCGGACAGAGGGCTCAAAAACGGACTGTCTGGTTGAATACCGGACACCTGGCAACCCTACTTTTTGGTGCAGAACCCAGGATTTGGTTTTATATATATATTAGAATCCAGGGATCCCAGATCTTGCAATTAGTGGAGAAACTAGAACAAGTGACTTTATAAATGGGCTTGGATTTGAGCATAACCCCATTTGATAAATTCCTGAGTCAAGGGATTGCTACTGAGAATGCTCTGCTCTATCCTTCTTAACAGCTCATCCTTGGGCTAAATAATTTTTTCAGTATAGGCTTGATTCAAAGACTGCTGAAGCCTATGTAAATAAGCATTCTCATTGACTTGGGCTTTGAATCAGCTTTTCCCCACTACACCAAACAAAACCCAACTGTATTTAGATAAATGTAGAAGGTTTTTTTTCTCTCCAGATTTCTAGACTTAAATATCTGCAATGTAATACAATAGAATGACGAAACCAAAGCTGCACATTCAATGTAGAGATCCATTATGCTTTATTTACATGCGGCACCATCTTTTACAAACTAGATTACAATTTAAAATAGAATACACAAGGCAATATCTACTAACACCAAGTGGAGTAAGCACTGCATTGCTACTTCATTTGGAAAGGGGATCAATATTTTAAAATCAAACTTGTTTCCAATCTTTGTGTAGTAAGGTAGTATATTCATCCAGGACAGCATCTAGTTTACAAGATCCTCAGTAAGAATGCAACATCAAAGTGCAAGATAGCCCAAATTAAAAGTATATACTGTTCAGTTCTTCAGTATGTAAAGACAGCCATGCATCAAGGCTGTGGATTTCCAATTTATATGGCTTGACATGGTGAAACAAAAACAGATAAAACAATTTTACAGATACTGTATACATGTTATTTTCCAATCATGCAACTTTTTTTTTTAAAAAAAGTTTAACATGTGAAGTCAAAACGTACAATCCTTTCTTCCATCATATTAACTAAATGCATCTGGTCCTCCTGCACATGTGTTGGCATTTCCAGTGTACATTATGTACTAAAACAATTATAGGAGAGTGATTGCCAAGCAATGACATAAGTTTAGAGTAATATATGTGCTAACATTTAGCTTTGTATAGCAGTAGTACAAATATTTCTGGAGTTAGGTAGTGGCCTATTAATCAGCTATTCATGAGAGAAGATATTCTGCAAAGAAAATTAAACAAAAAGCAGAAACATGCCATTGTCTAAACTGCCAAAGCACTACCCTTTTATTTAATTATGTATTTATTTATTTTTGGGAACACAAAGTTTAAACAGTAACCTGTGCATGTGTTTTGAGACTATCTATCAGGCATGAATTTTAGGGGAAGAAGGGATTTTAATGCAAAAAAATATTCCTGAAACTAAGGCCAAAGTTTTAAAAAATGGGGTTCCTGAAACCATACTTTGGCATCTAAATAAGTGATCTGATTTTCAAAGGTGCTCCATCCCCAGGTCTGCCATTGGATTCTCAAAGAGATGTGACTATTCGGCACTTCTGAAAACCAGGACACTTCTAATGTATCTAAATAAACATTTAGAGCTGGGATTTTCTAAGGGGTCTAAATGAATGAGACACCCTACTCCCGCAGAGCACCTAACTCTCTTATGCCTCTTGAAAATTCCAACCTTATTTGCTTAATTTCAGATATTTAAGTTTGAAAATTTTGGCCACCAAATTAGAGCTAGAAAAGACCTGTAAATGTTTCTAGTCCATCCCTCCCTGGGTAGTGCAGGTTTTCCCCCCCAACACTGGGGCTTTGTCTACACTGCAGGGTTTTTGCGCAAGAAGCTTTTTGCAGAAGAGAGCTTCCACAAAACTTCTTGTGCAAAAGCGCATCCACACCTCAAAATGTGCTTTTGCGCAAGAGAGCATCCACATTGCATGGACGCTCTTGTGCAAGAAAGCTCTGATGGCCTTTAACAACTGTGCTTTTTGCACAATAAACCTCTGCGGAGCATTCACACATGCTTTTTTGCACAAGAGCTGTAGTGCAAAAAGGAGTCATTCCTCGTGGGGAGAATAACAACTCTACTGGCAAAAACCCTCTGTCCTGTTGATTTACTGTATTTTTTGTGTGTGCAAAAATGTGCTTGAGGTGTGGATGCTCCGCCAGTTTTTGTGCAAAACCAGACGTTTTTGCGCAAAAACTTTGTACTGCAGACATAGCCTCGGGGCCCAAAACTGCCCTGCAGACACTAAGGAGAGTTTTGTCACAGACTTCAGTGGAGCAGGATTAGGCCCCTTATTTGCTTGTGCTTTGATTTTGATTTGCTGGAGAGGTTCTGTAACTTCTACGCTATCGTTTGGATGTCTGTCTCTGAACTGACTGGTGTTTCTTCATTTTCCAAAAAAACTGGACCACGTTTTGTAAATATGGAGTAACTCCACAGATCTTATGGGACTCATGCTGCATTAACATTGCAGTAACACAGTCGGGCCCAGTATGTTCAAACAATCAATCCTTCCCTTCCACTAGACATATCTGTTCCAGAGCAAGAAAAAATAAAATTACTCATCTTTGTCACCATAGTCTTAATGTCAAAAAGGCACTTGACACTAATGACTTGATCCTGCAATTCTTATACAGACCAGCCCATTTAATGGGAGATTTTATCTGAGTTGACTGAAATATTGGGCCTTATCTCCCTGTGAGTAATTGCAAGCGATGGGGCAAATCCTAATCACTGGCATAAATCCTGTCCTCCAAAATGAGTATAGCAGGGTCTGCTGCAGTGGAAGAGGTGCAGTTCTGCTGCAGGGATGTGTGCGTGTGTGTGCAAGAGCTGAATTCCCGAAGATGTGCTGCTCCCCTCCCGTATGCACTGCATGGAAGGCATTTGGGGATGGGGTAGGATCGGTGGATCTGCTTATGGTTCTGATGGCTATTCCCTGCTACAGAGGGGACACATAACCAAGGAAGTGTGAAGGCTATTTCTGCTCTGATGCTGGAGAACCAGCTATGGAGTGGGCTGGAGAAAAGGATTCCTTGTTCCTGCTCCCAGGAGTATCCCCAGAGAAGAATCCAGGTGCTTAGGTTATGTATCAGAGAGAGAGAATTCTGTAAATCTGGGGTAACTCACTACATCAGTTATTCCAGATTTACATCACTGTAACTGGGAGCAGAATTTGGTCCAGTATCTTTTGTAATTCTATTCCACAAAGTGAGCCAATTCTTTTGTCAGCCCAATGCCATTTAAGTTACACCAGCAGATAGGTCAGTCCAATACTGCTCCAAAAAATGTAAATAAAAAAGGTGCAGTTGGTAGATATAGATGGTAGGAAGCAGTGTTCCCTCTAAGCTGTGTGGCAACACAGTCCTGCAGCTGTTTAATGAGCCCTGCCCAGCCAGAGGCTCAGGGCTCCATGCACGGAGCTGAATGACTGAGCGGGACTGATTATGCAGCTGTGGGGCTGTGCTGTCATGCAGCTTAGAGGGAACACTGGTAGCAAGCTATAGCAACATAATTCTGTACTACCTACATATTTGTAACCCACCTGAAATTAGATTTTGTGAAAGGGAGAATCTGTTGCTTGCTCCGTGACAACGCAACAATGTATGTCCTCCAGTGGACAAGAGACAGTTCAGCAAAATATCACACCAGAAATAAACACAAAGCCTGCTTTGTACCGGAGTACTTGTGCACAGCCCTCCTATTAGTCAGCGAGTGAGACTTTAAGATTAAAAAGTGTCAATCAGCAAGCACAATACCACAGAAGACAAAGAAAGAAAAACATCCTCAGTTTAATTCACATTTAATGATGTACCAAAAACCTGACACATACTGTTATACACGCCGAGTACAGTGAAGGCTTGCAATAAAGCTCTTTACTAACTTTGGTAGAAGGTGCCTGCATGTGGACTCCTGTAAGTGAACTAATCCCTAAAACAGATTACTGCTGTATACCATTGTCGTACTGGGTAGCTGGCTTCCTGAAATTTCACCTCACATGGGGTGATCAGTAATGTGCATAAACTAATTCTGATAAAGAAAATATAACAAATTAGTCCCTGCCATTGATAAATAGACCACCTTAATTTTAAAAATTGTTTTGTTTAATGAAAATGATAAACTCTTAGCTGCTTGATATGCTACAGGTCTACTATAACCACAACTGCACAGAGTTTACATATTCAGTAAAGGGCAGGATGAAATCAACAGGTTCATCTATAAAATAGAACAGTACAAGCATGAGGAAGTTACAATACAAAACAAAATTTCCATCACACTAGGAGCTGTTATTTCACCAATATTACTTCAGAGAGCTGGAAAGTAAGGAGCAAAATGGGGCCCACAAATGTGTGTCTGTAAGTCTGTGTGTGTGTGTGTGTGTGTGTGTATGTGTGCTTGTGTGGTGGTGGCGAAAGGGAGTCACTCCACATTGCATGGTACACGTGTCAGTGGGAACTCATGCACGGAAACTTTGGGTTAAAATGCTAGTTTGTTTTCCTAACATCCATGCATACTGATCTGTTTCTGTACATAATAAAATATATTTATATATTTATACGCATAATGCTTTTATGCAACGAAAAAAGTCTTCATATATCACTTTGGAGAAGTATGTATACACTGTCCTATTCAGAGCTTCTTCATACCAAGTTCTTATGTACCATTGGTGTTTCCTCCTCTCCCCCCCCACAAAAAAATAGTAATAAAAAGTAATCAAGCTTTCCAGATTATAGAGAGGATCTATACAGCAGCACCATACCTTTTATTCGTTATTCATTCATTGTTATTCATTTAAAAAAAGAAACCCATAAGCAAAACATATAAAACTGCCTTGTCTTTTAGTGTCATTTATCCAATTACAATCTAAGCTTATATGAAAAGCTGTTTGTATAATATTACTTTCTTGCCTTTCTCTCTACAGCTTCTTCGTTCAGATTGGATTACGCATAGCGAGAAGGAAAACATAATCAAGGATATGTATGTAAGAAAAATCACTGATGTAATAACTTGCCCTGCAGCGATTTGCATTTGAACTTCTGATGACTCTATTGTAAGTCACTGCTGATACATATACTGTAAGTTATCTTTTCTGCAATGTCATATATTTTATTTCCCTTTCTTTTTGTTTTTTAAGCCATATCCTTACAAGTGGTTACATTCAACTTGTTTGGCAATGGGTGGATAGCTCATTTTAAGATCAACCAGTTTCCAACCTGCTGAGGCAGGCAAACTCTATTCCCTGCAATCATTAAGGGTAGCTCTGCTAACATAATGCAATAGGTGAGATTGATCAACTCAGGTGCTGAATCAGTAAACATAATGAAATCACACCCTAACTCAGTCCTTACAAACACTGGACACAACTAGCAATCTTGCTAGTTTCTCTTGTAATATCGACCCTGGCTTGATGTTTATGAAAAACAAGGTATGTACCATTAAATTTAAGAAAAAGATTTGAAAAAAAAAATCAACAAAGAAACCCCACAAACCCCATCTCTCCTGACTTCAGTCAGTTGCTTGTTGTAATGAATGCTACATACTCAGGTAGTGCTAATGTCTGACGCTATTTTGTGTAACGGTAATTAGTACAGCCTTTCATTGTGCATACACTGCATTTCAGATGCACCAGGAGAGAAAGAGAAAATGGTTAAAACATCTTTAGAAAACAAAACAAACTGTAAGTTAGAGGGGTCAGATGGGGAAACCCCTCAAAATAGAAGCCAACTTAAAATATCCCATAAACCATTAATATATTGAAACACCACATACTCATTGACAAATAACTACTGTAAAGGCTACACAGTGTGTTCTCAACAGGATGGTGCTGAACATTGTCTCCACAGTAGGTGCTTGACCATCCCCCAAAAAGAAGATTTTGCATACTTTAGAGTGAGTTCAATTCTGAAAAAGGAGGCTCTTCGCTTGGGAAAGGGGCCCATTAACAGTCTCTGCTTCGTTAGGAAAATAATGCAGGGTTCACAAAGGTCATAAGCTGTAAACGGTATCACTGTCCACTTGCTGACAGCAGATTTGGCAAAAGGTTCTCTCTTTAGGTCTCGTGTCAGTTTAAGGGCCTGGAGAGGAAGAAGGAACAAAAGCAAAGAAAACGAGATTATTAGGTATAAAAAAATAACCCACATGAAATGAAAGACAACATTAACCATTTGGTACTGGCAAGTTTAGTTAGTGCTCTCCTGCAGGAAACATGGTGCACAGTGTAATAACCCTGAGCATCAGGCAAGAGCTGCTGTCTGTCATGGAAGTGTTCATGTGCAATGGTTTACAGGTTTGGCAGCTCACAAAAACTAAACTGCCCTCCAACCCCAGAGAACACTATGGATCAAGTCTGAATGATAGAAACCTAATCAGGAGCCCAGGTGTGTGAGGTAAATTTACCAGCAGAAGTTGGTTCAATAAAACACTTACCCACTTTGTCTTGCTAGCATCCTGGAATAAACATGGCTACAACAACACGGAAAGAAACCTACTAAAGCTTCTACAAATTCAATATATTTTCAGATGGGTGGTAGAAGGATCCATCTAGAGTCTGTCTGTTCCTCTCTACCATCTGTTGTGGGTCTTCTTAACATCATGAGAGGTCTGGACACAAGTTCTGTCTGAGTCAGAGTGTATATCAGCTGCCAAAGAGAAACACAAGTTGCTCCTTTCCTCCCTGCCCTCTCTGTACGCCTAGCCATTGCTGGTGCTATGAACAATGAACTAAAACTTAAACTCTGTACTCTGACCTCCTACATGGCGCAAGATGCTATCACTAGACCAACTGAATAACTCCTACAAATTCAGTGTTAAAACATTAAAGATATTAAAGGTCACATCCTCAGTTACAGCTGAGGAGCGCACAGAGCAGGTTGGGGCACAGGGATAATCCTTAAGCATAAATTACACAGATGAACCCTACATTAGTTATTTGGAAAGACCTGTATGTCATTGTGAATAGCTCAATGAAAACCTCTCCTCAGTATGCAGCTATGTTTTTTTTTAAAGAGGAAATAAAAAGTTAGGATATATAAATAATGAAATAGAAAATAATACAATGTTCTAATGCCATTATGCTAATGCATGGTATGTCATCACCTACAGTACAGTGTTCAGTTATGGTCATCCTAGCTGTAAGAAATTGCAGAGTCATCATGTTGGTGAGAACAAGAAATGCTAATAGTAACTGAAAAAAGCCAGAAAAGACCAGTCTGGACTTATATTAACCCTGGTCTTCCTGGGAGAGGAGAATTCATATGGAAGTGAGAGACTCATAAGTGTGGATAATAAAATATAACACAAGTTATAAATAAATCTGTATAACAAAGGAAAGTTTAAACTATATTGTTTGGTGCTGAAGGCCTTGGCAATGAAATGGTCCTCATCTGCTTCCCACTTGTGAATAACTGATTAATACTCTCTGAGTGTTTTGCCTTAATAAATATTGGTTAGACTCATCTGCTGAGTACGTGAACCCTAATCCAACAATTCAGAGAAAGGAGATGAAGATAATTAGAAATATGGGGAAAATTTATACAGATGGAGGCTGAAAAGACACTTCAGTTCCAAGAATATAAAGAGCCATGATAAAGGTATATAAAATGATGATTGGTACAGACAAAGGGGCCAATTTTCAAAGCCAGATTTTCAAAGGTATTTAGGCACCTAGCAATGCAGTGGGATTTTCAAAAGCATCAAGGTGCCTACCTGCATTGTTAGGGGCTTAAACACATTTAATACTAAGTAACTTCTGAAAAGGGGGTAAAGGATCCTAGATCACATAGACACCTTTGAAAATTTACTCAATACAAATTATTTTGTGTTTTATGTAATGAAAGAACGAAAGACAACAAAATTAAAACTTAAAATTAAATATTTTTCATCTGGTCTTAGTCACTATCAGGCAGGTGAATGGACTAGATGGACCAGTTCTAATCTAATTCAGCTACATTCCTTATTTCTAGGGTGCAGAATTACATAAAGGAGATGAACCAATGTATTAGAATGTTGTCATCAAGTGACAGTCGCTGGCTGCTAGATTATGCTGAAGCCTCCACCCTCTAAAAGGCCAGACACTGATCTTATAATAACATTTTACTAAAATGACCTATTTCTATACTACCCAATGACTGACAGAAATTTAATTCTGCCTGTTGGTTACTGGAGCAAGAGAATGACAGCTGCTCCCTGTACCATTACATGAGAAGTTCATTCAGAATGCTGGGGAAAGCAGATTGTTGTTTCACTCAATCACAATTTGGCTTTATCCTTAATAGTGTGTTTTTAGATAGGCTATATTTGATGAATAAGGGGATTTCTCCATGGACAAACATATTGATTTTTTTTTCATTTTTAAAGAGTAAATTAATGTCTGCCATTCAGTTATTTGGCTAGTTAGCAGGGGTTCGATTTAGTAAATGTGTGATGATGCTGTAACAAGGTCATTTGATCAGAGTAAACTAAGTCAAGTACCTCACATATAATTTGGACAGTGATTTGTATCATACATTAAGTGAAGCACACCCTTTTTGGTCTCATACTCCGACACTTTTTGTTAATTCCTTAGTATTGGTGGGGTTGGAAGCTATCACCTTCTGCAAATGTTAATTCATTACAGGAGAAAGATTCACACCTCAAGCATCAAGTTCCCTATTTAGCAGAGCATTTAAGCATACGTAAAAAGTCCCACTGACTTAAAAAAGGACTAGTCACGGGTTAGAACAGATACACTTGTACGCAACTGTAGTACTGAATCATATCTTGACTGGTTTATTCAGCATTCACATTACAATTATTTAAAAATTGTACTGTTGAGAAAAAGTAAGAATAAAAAAGAGAATATTAGGGATAGACAATTCCATATGTAATTTTTGTATTTTGCACCATCAAAAATTCTTCTGAGACTACCAACAATATATTGGGCAATATAAAGAATAGCTAGAAAGACACTCAGCAAGAGACAGTGTTAAATAAGAGAAATATGCAGCTAAGGTAAGCATCTGTCTGCACTGTCACTAACAAAACTAAAGAAGTAAATTAAATTCTTAACCTACAGACTTTAACATTGACTCATTATACAGTTTATCATACACATATATACTCATGATAAACTTCGCTGGTTTTGCACTGAGATGGCTCGACTGCAATATCCCACCCCTAAAATTAGGGAAATAATTCAACACTTCATGTACCCTTCTGCTGATCATTGCTCCTTCTCCACTCTAAATACCTTTTTTCCACTGTCCACAGATGTCTACCCTTGCCTCACCCTAAAGCACTAAGGCTGTGTCCAGACTCAGGGGTTTTTTCGAAAAAAGTAGCCTTTTTTCGAAAAAACCTCACCTGCGTCTAGACTGCAGCCGCGTTCTTTCGAAATTAAATCGAAAGAATGTGGCTTTTCTTTTGATGGCGGTAAACCTCATTTCACGAGGAAGAACGCCTTCTTTCGAAAGTTCCTCTTTCGAAAGAAGGCGTTCTTCAATGTAAATAGGGCTTCTTCGAAAGAGAGCATCCAGACTCACTGGATGCTTTCTTTCGAAAAAGCAAGCCGCTTTTTCGAAAGTTCAACGTGCAGTCTAGACGCTCTCTCTCGAAAGAGGCTTGCAGTCTAGACATAGCCTAAGAGGCATCCTTTTCCAGGGCTCCCAATAGGGGCAGGGGACAATTGCCAAGGGATCTGGTCTAGGTGATTTTAAAGGGCCCACCCTGAGTGCTGACTCCACAGCTCACATTGACTGGGAACCACAGGCAATGGGAGCTGTAGGGGCAGTGCCTCTGGGCAGCAGTACACAGACACCCATTGACTCCCATCTTGGAACTGTAGTCAGAAGGGTGTGCTAGTCTCTTTTGGGAGCCACCCAAGGTAAGCACTGACCCCCCCCTCATGCCCTTCTGAACCCTCATTCCCTGCCCTAGGCCAGAGCCTGTACCCAAACTCCCGCCCATACCCTGCACTCCCTACTGAACCCCAACCCCCTATCCTAGCCTGCATCTCTACTTCTTCCCAGTGCCTGCACCCTAACTCAGTTCCAGAGCCTGCACCCCACTCCTGTATCCAAACTCACCCCCAGAGCGGGCACTCCACACCCCGTCCCACATCTCAGCCTCCTACCCCAGCCTGCTGAAATTGAGTGAGGGTGGAGGAGAGCCAGTGACAGAGAGATGGGGGATTGAATGAGGAGTGGGCAGAATCTCGGAGATGGGGCAGGACAGGGACAGGGCAGAAGTCTTTGGATTTGTGCATTTAGGGAGTTGGCATGAAGCTCTGGCTGTGCTGGAAAAGTACACACAGCAGCATAGCCAGCAGCACATTGGGCACCAGCCAACGCAGGTACAGCACTTTGTAAATGTCAGGCAGACCACATCTGCACGGGCATGACTTGTGTGTGCGTGGGTACCCATTGACTGTTCTGTCTTGGGGCCCAGAATTGTTGTTGGCAGGCCTTTTCTTTCCTTTTCACCCTCCCCCCTCCACTGCATCCCTGGGAAGTCCTAAGCCTCTCCTCAACAGGCATTCCAGTCAGCCAGGTGGGAACCCCCAATCTGGAGACCATGGAAATTTGCCACAGAGACAAACTGATTGATCTTCAATTGAGACACCAGTGGCTGTCCAGTGGCTTTCCCATCCCCACCATTTGCCAGTCCTTATTACTAATGGAGGCAGGGAGAGAGGAATAATTAAAGCTGAAATGTGAGTCAGAAATTGGCTGGGTTTTGGGACAGGGATAGAGAACCCATGTAGCTGCCGGGCTAGGTGAATAGTGGGCCTAAATAGCAGATTTTTCATCTGATTCCCTGTGGAGCCCACACAATTCTCTGGCTTCTATGGGTAGGAAGACTCCATGGTTTCATAGGTGTGGCAACATTTCAAATAGGAAGCATATGTGAATGGTTTCTATGCAAACAGAAAATTCAATTATCCTTTGAAGATTTTCTGTGCCAAATTTGGAGACTACAGGTTGGACCTTCCTGGTCCAGCGGAACCTGACTGATCCCGGATGAGGGATTTTGCTGGACCAGGAGAGGTCATTTCTGGACCCCAATCACCAGCTCCCCTGGCCTGGCCACTGACCTCCCA